GGATTAAGTCATTTAACAAGTACTTGATACTGGAATATAACATGTAGTTAATAATGTATCATATCTATTTGTTAGTGTGGCAATTAAGGAAGGTTATATTAGATTTTACGAATACGGCTCATTCGAACAAATTCAACTTATTACAATGGGCGGGTTCGGTAAAGTTGAAAAGGCCCATTCGAAAACGGCAAGAAAACAGGTAGTTTTAAAAAGCTTGCATAAGCAAGAACGAAAATTTTATAAATTATTTGTGAGAGAGGTAATAAAGCTATATATCAATTTTTTCCCTAGCATTGTGTTTAAATTTTAACAATAATATTTATAAGGGTGTGTCTAAATTGATAGTTACGAAATATTAGCGCGGTTGATGATAGCGATAATGTCATAAGATTCTTGGGAGTTAGCAAGGGTGAGTAAGGATTAAATATCTTGTATAGTATTATTAATATTATAATTAATTTAAATATTTATTTTTATATCACTAGATGTAAACATCGGTACTTATTTTCTAATATTCCAATATGCCAATGGAGGAACTCTTCGGGATTATTTGCATGATATATACGAAAACGGTCACTTTTCCGAACTTGGATGGCCAAGAAAAATTGAAATGGCGAAAGATATTGCAAGTGGTTTGTGTTGCATACATACTGCGAATATCATCCATCTGGATCTAGTATGTACCGCTATATTATTTGACCTAAGCAACTAATCTAAATGTTCTATTAAATTAATAATTTATATTTTACCATTCTTAGTATTCCAAGAACGTCCTGATACACAATAATAGGTTAATGATCACGGACTTTGGTTTATCCAAATCCCGAGAGAAGATCAAAGAGAAGAATTCAACAACCATTGTTGGGTGCGCACCACAGGTTTATTGCGACCCGCAATTTTTAAACGATCCTTCTTCCTATAAACAAGATAAATCTTCTGACATCTATAGTTTAGGTGTTATTTTCTGGGAAATCTCGAGTGGGAAAGTTCCTCAAATCGGACTTATTGATATTATTATTAGAGGTATAAGGGAAACACCGATTGATGGAACTCCGTTGGATTATGTTAACATTTATTCCCAAGCTTGGCAAGGTGATCCAAATCAACGCCCTACAATTGAAAATATCCTGAATTATCTTGAAAAGGTTAATTTAGAACCCGTGTTTCAGAAAAATGTTAGTGTAGATGAAAATTCCATTGATGATAGCTCATGCGTGCCAGAAGATTCATTTACTGGTATTTCTTTGGATAGCAAAAGTGGTAGGTATTGTGAGGATAGAATAGTAGAACCAATAAGGCAAATGCAAACGCTAACTAAAATATAATTCTAGATATCACATTAGGGACATCTGTTTTGGATGAAATTCAGGATCAAAGAGATAAAGCTGAATCATATTTTGAGGTGGGAAATTATGTCGAAGCAATAGAAATTTGGGACGCCATTCTCAGAAATCCCCGACATACGTCAGGAGACCAGAGGCGTGCTTCAAATTGGAATCTACGAGAAAAAAATCTTGATGAAACAACAGGATTCTCACTGGCTGAGGTTCTATACAAAAATATCACCCTGACCAATTTGAATATCATTGATAATAATATAGGGGATTTAGTAGGATTCGCACTAGCTGAGGCTCTATGCAAGAATACCACCTTGACCAATTTGAATCTGTATAATAATAATATAGAGGAATCGATGGGTAAAGAACTGGCTGAGTCACTATGCCAGAATACTACCCTGACTAACTTGAATATCCGCTATAACAGGATAGGAGAATCAGCAGGAAAAGTACTGGCAAAGGCATTATTCAAGAATACCACCTTGACCAAGTTAGACATCAGTTCGAATAATATAGGAGAATCGGCAGGAAAAGCACTGGCCGAGGCTCTATGCAAGAATACCACCCTGACCACATTAAACATCAGTTCAAATAATATAGGAGAATCGGCAGGAAAAGCACTGGCCGAGGCTTTATGCAAGAATACCACCCTGACCAAATTAGACATCAGTTCAAATAATATAGGAGAATCGGCAGGAAAAGCACTGGCTGAGACTCTATGCAAGAATACCACCCTAACTAATTTGAATATTAGCAGTAATAGTCTAGGAGATTCGGCAGGAAAAGTATTGGCTGAGGCTCTATGCAAGAATACCACCTTGACCGATTTGAACGTTGGTCATAATAAAATAGGTGATTCGGCAGGAAGAGCATTAGCTGATGTTCTATTTAATAATACCACCCTGACCGATTTGAATTTATATTACACAAGATTAGGAGATTCGGCAGGAAGAGCACTGGCTGAGGCTCTATGCAAGAATACCACCTTAACTAAATTGAATATTAGCAGTAATAGTATAGGAGATTCGGCAGGAAGAGCACTGGCTAAGGCTCTATGTAAGAATTCCACCCTGACCAAATTAGACGTCGGTAATAACGAAATGGGGGATTTGGCAGTAAGAGCTCTGGCCATGGCTCTATGCCTGAATACTACCCTGACCGATTTGAATTTATGGCGCATAAGATTAGGAGATTCGGCAAAAAGAGCACTGGACGAGGTTAAACGTTATAATACCAACGTGAATATTTACAATCTTCAAATGCCCATCCAAATTCCCCTATCATGAAAAAAATTTATAATTGGCCAAATGACAAGTTTGACCTTATACTTGTTCAGGTTGATTACTATATAATTTTAAGGCGATCGGAAGTTTCATTTTCCTTGGTATTTACAAGTTTGGACGGCAATCAATATATTCCCCAGTTAGTTGATTCTGATAATATTTTTGAATGACTTATGTCCATCCTTATTAACACCGGCTCTATTACCCTACAATAGCCAACCAGAAACGATTCATCGGATTACCATCTCGGATGATTTTTGATAACACTTGGATGCCTTGCATTCATTCTTTCTCAACACATCTACCAAAGTGATAACAACTTGCAAGAATATTCCGAGCTATTCATTATTTAAGCACCAGTCAAGGTCTTCTGTTTTTTGTGGTTTCGCTAATTTTGAAAAAAATTGAGTTATGAATAATCTTGATGCTTTTCATTCAATTCTTCTTCGACATACCGATTGCATGTCTCTTTTTGAAGAAAATTCTGCGATTGTCATTATTGTATAAAGGTAGCCGTAAAGTATTAGGGATCAAGAGCTTGTTTTTCTATTGTTAATGAAAATTATAGCCCTTTCGTGATGGAGTAGAAACTTTATTTCTGAAAGTCAGAATGGTCGACCCATTAAATATTATTGAGAAAAGTGACGAGAGAATTAAATTATTGGTTCTTAAATACGAACTTCCTATATTTTTATCGATACTTTTCTGAAGTAAGAAAAAATTGGTTATGTTCGTATTACAAAGCTGCATGTGTATATTCAAAGAAATATTTTCACGTACTCATAGCAGAATCTCATTAATATTAATTTTCCACGTTTAGTTTCTTTTATGGCTTCGTTGAAAATTAAGGCTTGCTATATTAAAAAACTTGTCCATATTCATTAATAAGGGGAGTTTTGACATATGCAAAAAACTTTAAGCATCGTTCATGTTGTAAATAAACTTGAATATGACCTCTAGTGATATGCTTGTATTCAAAAAAAGTTAATAACATGAGGTTACTAAAAGAAATACAGTAGCATCAAAATCAAGTCATATCATATACTTAGAACTTGAGGCTTTGTTTATATATTGCAACAAAGTTTTATGCCGTAAAGTCATGCAGTATTAAATAATCCAAGAAATATTGTATGTAAATAAACATGAGTTTATGTACATAATTTTAAAGACTAAAATTTTATTAAGCAGCAGAAAAAATTAAAAAAAGGTCCTAATCTTATTTTTGCACCAATTCATAACAGTCTGCGCGAACAAATACCATTTAGCGGTTTAACAAGCAATACCTTCAATTTGTCTGTTTAGTCAAGTACGTACGCACATACACAATTTATAGTCATTTACGGGATTACCTTAACCTTATCTGTGCAGCGTATCTTTGAATTTTGTCAAATTCATAATGTCCTTTGCGTATTACGCATCAGACAGTGTAACATACGCTAAAATTATTCTAACTGGTCCAAGTTTTATTATACAGAAACAGCATAAACTCGGTTGGGTGCAAAAGGTGAGGAAGAAATAATAACCTTTTTTTTTTTTTTTTTTTTGCATAACTACCGTGTTGCGGATAAAATATTAAAAGCGGAAATAATAAATACATTTTGGTAATTAAAAAAGTTACGAAACTGGTATCTAGAATCAAACGGATTTCCTATGATTAATGAATACAAAAGAAGAGAATTTCTTGTTTTATTTGCATGTACGCGCTGCACGTCTCATTTTTTTTTTTTTCGTGTTACAAACAATTGTAATATGTGAAACTAAGAAACGGTTTAGGTCACACAAAAACACTAACAAGAATAACAAATTGTTATATAAGGCACGAAGTCCTTAACAAGAAAACCTATCTGCCACCTTTTAAATGATTGAAGTCAAATGATCGGAGGAATAGTAAATATTAATTGTACATATACGTAATTTTAAACCTTACTATACTATTATATCTCGTCTGACCTTTCTATTTCAATTCAATGATCAATGTACACGCCAAAATAACATTTCTCCTTCCAGTAATGAAATAATTTTTTTTGTCCGGAGTACCTTCCGTCCTGACAATATTTAAATCGTTTCACGTTTTAGACTTTCCTCATTCATTACCTTAACATTTCTGGAATTCTTGTTAGTTAAAATGATCATTTAGGTTCATAACTCATTTAAATCAATTTTTAATAAACCGCAACTTTTCAAATATAAGAATCAAATCATAAATACATGTGCGAGGAAAATGCCGGAGAAAAGTAGTGATGAAGGCACGAATAATCATATGCTCGCAAAAAGGCTTAGTGTAGATGTAATCGCGGCTGCCTTGGCTGCTTTCAGTGTCTCTCCATTCATAAAGATTATCGACAAGTAATTATTTTGGGTTCTTTTCCATTGTAATTTCATTATTTCTTTTCTGAACTACACATATCTCTCCGCCTAACTCCTTGT